CGATCATAAACAAAACTCATAGAATATAAATATCAAAACTGACATGTAATAAAAGTTGGGGAGAATAAAAACATACCCGTTACCACATCCGGTGTGGCACGTGCCTCCTCGGCTCAACTCCTCTCCACAGGAGCATCTGACTTGCCGTGTCGGCCATTTGTGATCCGCAGGGTCGCTGGAGCTGGCGTCGCCAGTGGCACTCCTAATGTTAATCTCGGGCAGTTGTCCTTTTTATGGCCTGTCTGATTGCAATGAAAGCAAATTAGTTCTGACATCTGAATGGTGGGGTTGGGGCTGTGCAATCCTTGCTAAAGTGCCTAGTTTTGTCGCACTTGTAGTAGCCTAATCCCCCAGCTCTGCAAACTCCCTCGTGTCGCTTGCTGCATTTCCCACAGCGGCTCGAGTCGAATCCCTTGGGTTTCTTCCCAGAAACCCCAGTCGTCTTCCTAGTCTTCGCCTTCGTCTTCCTAAGGTGCTTTATGTCAATCCTACTCCCCTATCTCTCTCTCTCTCTCTCTCTCTCTCTCTCTCGCCCTAGCTATCATATCATCCAAAGTCAGGCATGCTGAGTAGCTGACATATTTCCGAATGTCAGCTCTTAACATATCATGGTATCGAGTTTTCTTCATCTCCTCATCACCCGCATATTGAGGCACCAATAAGCCCCCCTCCCTGAACTTGGAGGGTGAAATTGGCCGAAACACTAGTGCACCACCATGGCAGCCAACCATGGTGGCTTCTGCGGCTTCTATTTATTTCTGCCGCCTTCTGTCGTCTCTCGCCACAACCATCCACCGTCGGAGGTGGCTGTGTGCATGCATGTGGGTGTGTATGTCTAGTATATATGTTGTTGTAAGTGTTTTGATTGTTGTATGAGCCACATTTGGCCGGAAAACCAAGGAAAGCCGACCACCACCACCGTGAGGTGGTGGCTGCAACACACTGTCGCCATTCTGCCACCACTAGCCACCATCTCTGGTGGTTGTGTGCAATTGGGTGCGTTTGGACTATTATTTGGAGTAAATTTGGTATTTTCTTGGCGTAAAAACTCAACCACCACCACCATGACGTGGTGGATGCCTCCACGGACCGCCGTTGACCAGCATTACTCGAGGTGGTTGTAGGTGGTGTCCAACTTATGTAACACATATTGACCTAAAAACTTAACCGATGGACTAACGGGCACGTGATTCGGTTGAAAACCCTAATTAGGGTTTATAAAACCCTAATTTTGGGAATGTAAGTTTGGATTTGTCGGGACCTGTGTTTTGGACCATTGGATTGATGTTATGACTTATGCTTGATTACATTGTTTGTTTTGCCTAGTGGGATGATAGACTTGATGGATTAAGTCCTTAATGGGTTAAGTAAGAACACTTATCCCTAATCGTCATTTATGTGAAAACCCTAATTTTGCTTGGGCTTTGAGTTGGGCCTTTCTATTGGGCTTTGGTAATTGGACTATTGATGGGTCATCCAAGAACAAGTATATGTAACGTCATAAAATTTCAAACCAAAAATTTTCATTTTTGCAATCATCAAACATGAGTAATAAGTTTAGGTTCCAATGTAACAATTTAGTCACAACCGATTTCATAACAAAAAATAACAAAATGGTTTCCCCGAGTGTGTGTACGATCACGTTGGCACCTTCCCACGGTCCTCGCTAGTACCTGAAACACATAACACAACAACCGTAAGCGTAAAGCTTAGTGAGTTCCCCAAAATACAACCTACGCACGTACGCCTCTCCAGGCCTTGACCTTCCGGTCCATGTGTCTCAGGGGACTTCCGTCCCGACTGGGTAAACCTTCCGGTCCTACCCACGTTAACCTTACAGTCCATATGACCACGCCTTCCGGCCCATAACAGGTTGCCTTCCGGCCCAAATCAAGCATATCATACATCGCACATATAACGAATAACTTAACACACATAAGGCATATATCTCATATCATATTCGACCTTCTGGTCACATAGTCAAGACCCTTCCGGGTACAGTATAGTGAGAAGACTCACCCCGTATGCCTCGCTAAGTCGCTAATCGTGAATCCTGGAATCACTCGGGCTCGAACCCTCGAGCTGCAATCCTCCTATGATATTATAAATCTATAATTATTACTTGTACCACAAAGGTGGAACATCCTTATCAAGTCAGCACAGGTTGACTTGGTCAACAATCTTTAGTCAATTTGGACCGGACTCGGGGAGTGCACAGTAGTGAGTCGGCGAGTCTACGTGTTTTAACCAACTCTCAAGGTTTTTCACCTTTGACTCGTCGAGTACTCCCCCGACTCGACGAGTTCCTCCTGGGCCTAAATCACAGGGCCACCGCGACTCAACTCGCCGAGTCGAAGGTCAACTCGGCGAGTCCCAACTTGACTTGGTCCACCTGTCAAAACCTTTCCAACTCTCTGCGACTCACTGAGTTGCCTATAACTCGGTCAGGACTACACACAGGGTGGTCTTAAGGACAATCTTCAAGCGACTCGTCAAGTCTGTTCTTCAGACTCGGCGAGTCCATGCCATACACCAGCTAAAACTGGCTTTTGCGGTCAGATCCGTTCCATACATACATAGATCTGGCCTTCCCAAGCTTATTTGTCACGTAAAGTCTCAGTCTTGGTTGCCATGCAATGCTTACAAGGCTTATTTTGAAGAAACAACCTCTAATATGGCAAGCTTAGCTTCTAACTCAAAAGAATGGACATAAATCTTGTCATATGGGGTCTCCTGGACCTGCTAAGGTCCAGATCTAGGGTCCATATCTCCATGGGACCTCTCATACTTCGGATTCAAGCCAAGAAATGCAAGAAGAAACCCTAGATTTGGCACATCAACACAAAACACGAAGTTTGGCTCTGAAAATTACCTCAAAAAGACTCCCTTGATGAAATAGCAACAGATCCAAGCTCCCCAACTCTTCAAGCTTGATCCTCTCCCTCCTTTCCTTGCAATATCACACAAAATGATGAACAAATGGCCTCCAAACACACTCACAAGGGCTCACAGTCGTATGGGGGCTCTTAGGGTTCAAGGTGGCCGCAAATGAGGGCCATAAGGTCCTTTAAATAGGGCTTAGGACCGGGAAATTAGGGTTTCATTAAACAGTGCAGACTCGTCGAGTCCGTCCCTTGGACTCGCCGAGTCCGGACGCGAATCCCCGCCCAAAACCGCGACCCGACTCGGCGAGTTTGACCTCCAACTCGCCGAGTCCCCTCAAAGAATGTCAAAAAAATATGAAATGAAGGTACCTGGGGATCCAGGCTGTTACAGTATATGGACTAGAATATTTGGATGGGCTTTAGGGAAGGGCCCATGTGAGGGGTTTGGGCCACTACTAGAAAAAACAGCCTTTTACGACGCTCATTGCGCATCGTAAAAGGCTCAGACGACGTGCAAATGCGCGTCAAGGAAGGCCCTGTCATAAAGAGAGACGACGCGCATTTACGACGCGCGTTTACGACACGCAATGCGTATCAAGGAAGGCCCTATCATATAGGAAGACAACACGCATTCGCGTGTCGTAACCTTACGACGCGCGTGTTAATGACACACAACGCGTATCAAGAAAGTCCCTGTCAAGAAAGGCCATGTCATAAATGAAGATGACACACATTTTTGCGTATCATAATTTTAAATGTATAAAAAATTATATATTTATTAATTTTTAAATTAAATTTGCATTTAATTTCTCATAATAGAAATAAAATACTTTTTTGATAGATTTACTAATTTTCAAATTAAATAGCACATTAAAAGTCTCATAATACAAAATAAAATACCATAAACAATAAAGATAATTCATTGCACTAAGGACCATGTTAACAAAAGAATATAACATTATATACCATAAGTACCCTCAAGCAATCAATCTCTTACAATGTTACTAAAAATACCCTCAAGTAATCAATGTCTTACAAAGTTAAGAGACTTAGATACTCAGTTGGTATGTAATATGGCACTAAGAAGCCCAAAAATTGTTTGTGTTTTTCCTGTTCCTGGTGGATGCTACATGGACAAAAGGTAAGAATTAACATTTTCAAAGTACAATGCCTCAATAAGGAAATCAATGGTAAAAGACAAATCCGAATAAGAACAAACTTTATACATATATACATGGAAGTATTGTAATACACAATAACAACAACAAATACTAAATTACCCTTTTCTTACCTTTTCTTATGGCCACCTCCAAAAGTGAGAATTTGATAAAAGATTTAGGTCACACATTCTCTCATCAAGCTCTGTATCCAAAAGTGAGAATTTGATAAAAGATTTTAAAGGTCGGAAAATATCAAGAATATAGAGGATAATACATTAAGAAAAAAAATTACCTTCACAAAGAGCAAGTTTCAACCTTCTGCCCCAACAATGTTTGAAAGCAAAAAGCTCATATATATCGATCTCTGCTAAAAGGATATATATTGCTTGATGATCTTTCTGCAAATTGAAGTACAAAATATATTAGATCATATGCCTAATATATTTTGTACTTCAATTTGCAGAAATATCATCAAGCAATAGATATCCTTTTAGCAGAGATCGATATATAAAAGGGTTGTTATACTTGTTTACCTTTTCATCATCCTCATCACCAAAGTCCTCTTCATCAGCATCCTTTAAAAAAAGAATATTTAAAAACAAAATCAGTAACACAATAATGAAGGAAGGTGGATTTCAAAAAAAGAAAAAGAAAAGGTTTTAAGAAAGGTTTTATTCAAGCAAACAATAAAAAGATGCTTATGTTTTTTTATGCATGATTAATAAAAAGAATATATAATCTGAACATAATCCATCTTGAATTTAATCCATGTCATCTTCACATTGGGTCCCACTGAACCAGCTAAAGAAGCTGTTGCATCAAACCAATCATGAAACAAAATATAGACCTTTTAGTTTATGTTTCTTGTTTACTTAACAAAAACAAGACTTACTCAAGAGAAAAAATATAGACCTTTTAGTTTATGTGTCATTAGCAGGGATTCACCATAACATCTTCATTCATCTTTCATCACAAAGCCACACAACTCTGTTAGCTTAGCTTCTTCACCATGATTTGGAAGCCAATATGTATTTCTTTAAATGGAATTTAAATTTAATCAACTCTAATCCCTTATTTTACTAAATTGAGGTGAAAAGATCATTAAGTTTGACCCAACCATAATCACACCTGTCCCTAACCTTCTGTGTTGTGGAAAAAGCTAATCCAACCAAACCTCTTATCCTACCAACCTCTTTCTCAACTGCAGCCTTCAACTTAGCATCAAACTGAAACCAAACTCATTTTATACATTAACCAATTATAAAACACTTCATATCAATATCTGCAATTTTTAACTAATGACAAAAATAACCTTGTCAATGCAGCGATCAGCATCCAAGAGATAACATAAGTAGAGAGTTTCTTGTACACATCAGCCTCCGTATACTAGTAAAAAATTAAACAATCTTTTTTTTATAAAAAACAAATTTGGAAAAAAAAGCTTACGTAAACCCCAAAATCAGTTGGCCATGGTGTAGATTTCCAGATTGTTGCCGCGTCTGATTTTGCCAACTCCAATGGTTAGAATTGTGTGCCAAGAAGCCATTCGTGTTGCTAGATTAATAAATAAAAATTAAGAACCCAAAATCCGTCAAAAAGGTATTTAAGCATTTTAAATTGTTTTTATATAAGATTCCATTAGAGAAAGGCAGTATAATTGAGGATGGCATACAAACACTAGTCCAGTAGAGAGTTCATTATTCCCATCAAAATAAAAATAGCATCAAAAGCATGAAACATCAAGTCCAAAGTTAGATTAACCACCACACTTTCCAAACAAACAATATCATGCACCTGAATCAAATACACAAAAAATAATATCAAAAGAATGCAACATGCAGCCAAAAACAGGGTGGCATAGATAATTAGATTGTTACCTATAGTAATGTCACATAATGACCCAAGAACTTAAGATATATATGACAATACTTACAGGTTTGATTCAAAAACACACAAAGAGAAGAGGATAAGTACTCATCTGACGATTTTGAATCCTTTTCCCCACTTACTTCCTTTGACCCCATCCTTGATTCTTTTTAGCATCTATTTTTTTCAACAAAATCCAATGCAATAGGAGGCTGAGAAAGCCTCATTCATCAACTACCTACCTGCCATGCAATAAATAAGTTAAATAAATTTAACCAGACATCTGGATTGAAGCATAAAAATCCAACATCCATATGATCTGGTTATGATTCATATGTTTCTAAATATATTAATTCTCTGATTATGGTGGTTTAAAGAATGATCAAGGAAGAAAAAAATTAAGTTTCAAATTGAGGGGTATAACAGTAAAAAAAATGAATCTTAGTGGATTAAAGAACGAACATGGTAAAAGAAAAGGATATTAATTGGCAATATTGTGAATTTTAGCTAGCTTTAAAGGTAAGAAACATGACTGCAATAAAAAAGAAAAATATGATCTAATTTTGAACATCTAATGAAGTAAACATGTAAACAGCATAATTGTCCATTATGTATAAAATTATGTTGATTGATAAATATATATTTACTGAGATAGCATTTGCTGAAAAAAAAAAGACCTAACGAAATATCAAGTTTATATATATAGAAACAAGAACACACCAGCTTAACTCACATAGTAACTATGTTTCTGATTTATCCAATCCATGCAACAATGTTCCAATTTTTTACCAATTTATGCAATCATCTTTCCCTTTTTAACCTATTTATGCAACTTATAGACCCATGTTTCATCAGGTTAAACATGTTGCTGGTAAAACATCGTATGTTTTGGTCCTACAATAAATAATACAGCGGTGCATATTTTCTAATAAAGAAACAAATTTGTTGCAGAATCAGGAAGAGGGTGTATGTTGTTTCATAAATATACATATGCACTTAATCCTTTTAAATATAAACACTCCAACCATAATTCATATGTCTACTTTTACCAATTTATTTTATGCAACATATATGCAGCTGACACGAATGAATTATACAACTAGTTAGGAGTAAAATAAGGGATGGTTGCATATTTAGTATGATAAAGAAAGAGATTTGTGGCATAAGGGTGCATAAATAATAAGAAGCAAAAAGGAAGAGGAAAGCTGACTTACATAATCAACAAATTTCTGAATAGGTGCTTTTGACATAATACATAAGAGTGCTCCCACTATGTGACATAATCTGGACAGGTGATGACCATGAAGGACCATTTTTAGTTTGAACAGATGATGACATGGGCTTCTGCATTGGGACATGTACTTGATGTTGTTGTTGTTGAACAGAAGAACCACCACCTTTATTCTTTTGTTCTTTAAGAATGTACCTTAAGGAAGTATGCCTTGCAATCTTTCCTGAATCAGTTGACCAAGCTGGAGCAGGAGTAGGAGTTGCAGTCTCCCCTTTCCAGACAACAAAATCTCTAAATGAAGGCCTGAAGGGATAGCTGGCAGCAAAAAATCTCAGGCAAAAACTAGATGATATAATGATCAACTTGACAAATCATGCCTAGACCTTCTATTGAAGAAACCCCTCAAAACTAGATGATATAATGATCAACTTGACAAATCATCCTAATCAATGAATCATTAAACCCTATAATCAATTAGGATGGACCACAGCAACAATTAGAAAGCCTTTGGTACTGTTAAACCTAAGGATTCAAATAATGCCTAGATAGAAAAATGAATCTAATCAAGTAAAGTAACTAACGAACTATTGTAATCATACCAGCTAATAGATAGCTTTGGGAAAAAGCCGATGGTGATGTCCATAAGAATTTATCGGAGGAACCCTACTCTAGAAGTGAAAATCAGAAAGAGCTTTCTGATCAGGAAGTGGCCTGAAAAGCAACTCCTCAGTGAATTCTTCTCCATCGATTTGTTCTACTACTTCTCTCGTGGATTCAGAGGCAACGTGGAGTACAAACACTAACAGCACGAAGATGGAAAGTAAAGGAGCCATGAGAATCTTATAGAAGAACGAAAACATTGAGAAGTTAGAATCAAGAAAAACATACCTTAATAAGACATAGGGCTTGTAAATTTGAGCAATAGAAGCAGTGACCCTAAGGTCACCGGACCTAATGTTGCTGGCAAGGGCAGGCGAGGTGAGATTGCCGAAGATGAGGGGCTCCATCATCTGGGTGACGCTGGAAAGCGTTGGACGGTGGGGCGGGGCTAGACGGAGCTCAAAGGTGGGAGGCGCCAACACCAAGAGAAACGTCGGCGGTGGGAGAAGTTGTTGACATTGAGAACTGAGAAGAAGAGAAAGGGTTTGTTGAAGTGAGAAGGAGAGAAAGGGAAGTTGAAGAGAGAACGAGCTGTACAGGAGGGCAATCAGGGCAAGTTCATGAAAAAAAGCCCTAGCTACTAGGGAAATTAAAGTGGAAGGAGAAAAAAAGGAAGGCGGGGATTTTAAGTTTTTGGGATTTCATTTTCCCTGGATGGAACGCGCGTGCTCTATTAAAATTTATAAAGCGACGGTCGTAGACGACACGCAGGTGCCCTCCGTGTTTTTTTTATTTTTTATTTATTTATTTATTTTTTATTTTTTTATTTTATGTTTAGACACTAATTT